CGACATCTAGTGATAAGGATATGATGTCTCGATGACTGCGACACTCCAAAAAATTGCTGACTAATATGACTGGACACAATATAAAAAGTGACGCTGCTGCCCAGCAACGTGTGTTTTCAAGTTCATTTAATTCATCCACTGACAAGTATTCCCAATTTCTTTTGTTCCCTAGTGTCGTCTACCAAAGTGTATAGTGTAGTCTGCTAAAACTTATTGGTAAGTATATTTGTAAGTATTAATCTCATTGAAATGCTAGTTTGTAAAATCACAAACAAACATATATATATATAAAGTTCATGCAATTTTCGAACATTTTTAGATTATTACTAACCTATGAATAAATCACTTGTTGCATTCAGTTATTTTTCACGTTCAGACACATTCTCAACACATTGTAATTTTTGTCTCTGATCCACTGTATATATAGCCCCTTTAATTTGATTTTTTTCTTTACCTACTTTCTGAAAATTTCGATATAATGTACTAAATATTATCGTCTAATCTAAACCCCATTGTAATTAGTAATTTAGTTTTCAATTAAGTATAAATTTCCATCGAACTGACATCGATGTCCTTATGGTCGTATCGCTCCCTCCTGTCCATCCAAAATAATTTTATTGTTGTTGCTATTTTATTGACAACTGTATTTTCTTGATAACTGTATAAATGTGCTAAACATCGAGCATGATTTTAAACAAGGCCTATATTTGCATTACCCAGCGTCAGAGAGAAGACAAACATCCTAAATACATTGGCTTCATTTATAAACAGCGCTGAAAAATCATTCAAGAATATTGATTGTTATAGACTAAAGTACATTTTCATATCCACACATAAACACATGACCCATTCTTGCAAAATAGCATAATCTTGTCATATATGTGGAATTTTTTTTTTAGATTCAGTTACTTGAATTAGCATAGGAGAGTCCACATTGGCAAAAACCACACTCTTGTGAAATATGTGGAAAAAGTTTTACGTTCAATATCACGATACTCGAATGAGATATGTGGAGAAAATTTTGTAGAATTACTTGCAATAGAAAAACATATAAGAGCCTGCAGCCTGTTCCGGCGAAACACTGTACTCTTGTCATGCATGTAATCTGAAGGAGCATTAAACTTAAGGAAACCTTATTGGCAAAAACACATTCTTGTGAAATATTTGGAAAGAGTTTGTGGCCTCCAGCTGGTTTCCATATGTCTATTTAACCTCCTCATAGTTACAAAACACTTTCCACATGTTTCACATAAATAGAACCTTTCTCCGAATTTTGATAATTATTGAATTTTATGATAAGTTTGCCACAAGATTTACAGGAATACGGCTTCCTCCGTTGCGTGTGCCATTTCATACTTCCTGCAGCTGTGAAAATCTTCTCACATATTTCAAAATACTATAGGTTTTCATCTGTTTGATTTCGCGTATATATTCAAAATTACATGCTACTGCAAATTAATGAAACAGCATCGAGGAGTCTACACTGACAAAAAAGCACATTTTTGTGAAATATGTGGGAAGAGTTTTGTAGCCTTCAGCTGGTTTCCATATGTTTATTCAACTTCCTCATAGCTACAAAACACTTTCCACATGTTTCACAAATATCTAACTTTAATCCGATATTACAAATGATGAATTTAACATTAAATTTGCCACAAATTGACTTCTACGAAGAGTGTTATAATTTGTAAAATCACTGCAAATAGAAAAAGATTTGGGATCATCCGACCACGGGGGATCCACCTACAGCTCACTAATTTGGTTGTTACGTCATGCAGAAGTCTGCGTTCATTGGCCCATGATACCGGAAAAGCAGAGAAAATAGGACAGATGGTGACACATATTTATTGTAGTAAAAGCGTCTTTTCTGTATAACGTGCAACTTTTGGAAGTGGGAACAAAGCAATATTTGTTACTAAATTTCTAAGGAACGTTTTGAAATCATTTTTAGGTAGTTACCTTATGTGCGCTACGAAACTGTGAAAGATAAATGGTCTCGGCTCGCGGCCTATTTGTTGTTGTTCACTTTTATTTATAACGGTTGTTCATTGTACAGTAGATTATTAGTTACATGCGTTCAGAGTAACATTAATTGTCACAAGCTCGTTTGTTAGTTGTATTCTACTTGTTATTTTTGGACACGTGAGTGGATCGTTTTATATTTTGTTGATATTGTTGTAAATTTTCGTTTTCATCATTATAAAATCGCTTTTCTCTTCGAATACTGCACTATTTGCTTTGAATTTTCCAGTTCTTGAAGATTGAATTTTTTGCCAGAAGGCTATTACTTTTATTTATTCCTAAACTTTCTATGAATCTTATGAGATCTAATATTTCATCCAAAATTGCCTTGTGTTTCTTTTTAATTATGGAAACACGGTTTTAATCTGCCAAGCGTGACGGCTGATTGTGAAAATTTTTTCGACTGAAAACTCGAAAGTTTTTGAGGACACGGTACCGTAACGTTTCGCGCTGGTCCACGTGTCCGTATATTTGTGCATTACTCTCTTGTTTTGGTATACAATGTAGTGTTATTTGCTGTTTTGGATGACATGTACACCAGCACGACTTAAATCTTTTTAGATTTTTCCTACTTTCCTGATTTTACGTATATTTGTTTCCTTGTAACGGGAAATCAAAATAAATTTCCTTTCTTACATATTTCAATTCAGACTGCTGACGGAGATACTCTCATGAGAGATGTAAAAAAAGATTGTAGAATCCTGTGCTATGGAAAAGCATGCCCACTCTGGTAAAATGCATATTCTCATTGTATATGTGAAAACAAAACACTTGCTGAACATAAAGCAATTCACATTGGGAATAAACAATATACTCGCGAGAAATACTCTCGTTAGCCCTCCACAAATATTAAACAGAAACGTGTTTTTGCATTTAACATCGCATAACGTCTAATCAAATTACTGAAACGAGCAAAACACTTGCCACAAGGTTAACATGAATATAGCCTTTCTCTAGTAAAATATTTAATACATCTGCATTGAAAGTATCTGTGAAATACTTCACACAAATATAGCTTTTCGAGGCCACAAAACACGTTCAACATATATTTCACAAATAGATGGCTTTTCTCTGGTATGAATTGTGGTCGTTAAAAATATTGGATTACACAAAACGTTTGGCCCAAGACTTACAAGAATATGAAGTTTTCCAAGTGTATGTTTGTGTGTGCCTGTTCAAATTAATAAAGCTATCAAACTTCCCATATATTCCAATAAAAAAAAAAAATTATTCAGTTTGAGTTTGGGTGTGTTTTTCAACGTTGTTGCTAATAACTTTCCACATATGTTGGCTTGTCTTCTGTAAGTAAGTGTTTATTTCGATTTTCCGTTACAGCAAAACTAGGCAATACAGGGCAAAACAAACAAATGTACGGAAAATCAGGAAAGTGGGCAAAATCTAAAAAAGATTTAAGACGTGCTGGTGCACGTGCCCATATACCCCACACAGCAAACAACACATTGAAGTAAATTAAAAAAAAAAGAGAGAGACACGAAAAATAATCCGGGCGTCAATACTTGACCGTAAATATATACACTTGACTGTGATTTCAACATGGAGTGTAATTTCTACTATATCTGTACAAGGGACTAGCGAGAATTGTAGAACACAACAAACAAACAAGCGGTGCGCAATATGAGATAAAATTTACTTGATTACAAATGCACTCAACTAATAGTCTACCGGACGATAAACAACAATAATAAAAAACAGCGTAAAAGTAAACAACAACAAACCAAGTAAAATATGACAAAAGCATTCCACGCCCTGGCGTTCCAACTTTAATTTTAATCAAAATTCATGTGCTTTGTGTAAGTAGGCTAGTCTTTTTTATGGAATCCATCATCAAATATCCGTTACATTTGACGTTTGACTGTTCGTGTTATTCCCAGCTTCGTTCTTCACGATAAACTCCACGCAGGCAGCATGATATGATGTGAACTGATCCTTATTGTTTCGGTACTATATCCAACAGCATCGTTTTGATTCAAGTTTGTATGTATCTTCTCAGTAGGGTTTATATTCGTCCGACTTTCCAAGTTTTCGTCCAAATATTTCTTACTCCAGTAGCTAGTCCACCGTCGATATTCCACGTCCGCACCCGACGGCGGTCTGTATGAATATTCATATGTATATTTAAAGTACTGGAACATGTAAAACACATTTACCACATAATATACCAAAATATGACTTTTCCCTAGTGTGGGTTTGTATAGGTGTTTCGTTGATGCACATATTATGTCAATCGCTCGGTCTATTCAGTAGTTTCTTATCTGAAGATGAATTTATCATGTATTGCAAAGGTAATTTCAGGATGTCCAATTACTGGACGAGTGTTGACACCATTTACTAGATCACTGTAGATAGAAACTAAATGGATTCGGCATGTGTCTGTAAGAGTGAATTATCACATTACAAATTCCATGGATGGTCAACTAATTCAACGAGTATGTGATGGAAACTTCATTCCTATTGGTAGCCGGACGTCGGAAAGAAAATTACATTACCTTGACCATACTTAAGCAATTCCACACTCTTGTGAAATATATGAGAGTTCACACAATGCACGATAGATGTGGGAAGTATTTTGTAGAGTCGGGCGTGTATGAACACTTTGGTGAATTAGCATACTTTAAATATAATTTGAAGAGGCATATGATAGTCTACAGAGGCAAAAATCATAGTTTTGTAAAATTTATGAAAATAGTTTGCAATGCATTTTTGTTATAGCTCGTCCAACATAGTTCACATCAAGTTTATGACATCATATATCTCTATTCAAACTACTGAAACGCTCAGAACACAAGATTAATAACAAGAATGTGGATTTCTACAATATGAACTTTTTTTCTCGACATCCTGGCAGCTACAAAATAATTTATACATATTCAGTAATCAGTAATTTATTTTTTCACCATTCTAAAGCACACAATGTGCATACACAATACAAGAAATAGGAAATATGGTACTTTAGGGTGAAGGGAGGCGCGAGACACCAAGACTGGTGATCGAGCAGCGACACCCATGACAAGTCTAACAGTAATAGATAAATAACAGTAATATATAAATCAAACAAACAATAAATATTAGAACAGGTTTACGTTAAAGTAAGTCGAGGCGACGTGCATACCCAAAAGACACCCGATCCAAGGTGAAACGGATAACGACTCCGAGCACCGTCTTGTGAGTAACCATGGCAACGTCAGCGAAATCTTATACTGCGGAATACAGACACTGCCTGAGTTGAGCTTGAATTCATGTTTATCCCGCGAGGGGAAGCCGATAACTTGGCATATTTATATTATTATAAAATAGTTTTGTTTGTCGCAGTTAGGGATACGAGAGTGTGTAAACAAGTGGAAGTATAGTGGTAAGGTGCTTTGGTGCCGGAGACGTCGTGTGAAGAGGGAAGAGCCTAAGGACCCAACCTGACGTTAACAGGTAAAAAATAATAAAATTTAATTGGCGATTGAAAATAATCGACAAAATAAATAAATGTGGAAGTAAATAGTATTGCTAGTTAGACAAAATATGTACATAAAGAAACTAGTATATTAGAAAATTTTAGTCCATCATTGAAAACATGAATGCAATAAACACTTTACGGTATTGGTACCCAAGCAAACAGTATATGGAAAAGACATTAATTTAGTAAGTTGCAATATCATTAAAATTTTGAAATTGGTGAGTATACTGGCACTTGACAAAGACATAAAGGATAGCTAAGTATTTGTACACAATCTGAGACCAAAATTATGGATCATGGGTAAAGTGACCCACCGGTATGGTTTGGATCCAAGATAACCCGTCTGAGCCTAATGTTGGCAAGATGAATAGTTTGGTTATTGTATGAGTGGCACATGGCTATGCACTGACACGGTGGGGGAAATAACAAGTTCAAGATTTACAGAGTCTCTATCTATTTCAGTTACTGTGGACTGTGGGTGAAGTCAAGTGTTGAGCTGACAATGACAAGGGGTGGAGGGTGTCAGCACATCAAACAGATGTGGTGACCCGAGACAGGTAAGATGAAAGCATGACCTTCTTATATTTTATTTTAAAAGAGACATATGTGCTTTCACGTAAACTTTGTGGAATACTATTCCATATTATGACACCTTTGTATTTCAGGGAATTTTGAGATTTGCTCAGTGAAAAGCGAGGTACAAAAAAATTGGACTTGGTTGAAGAGCGAGTGTTGTGTTTATGCACAGAGGTAAGCGAAACAAAATAAGGCTGTTCACTCTAATCCTTCGAATTATTGGATTTCACAGAATGTCTAAGTGTCCACACACCATTTACTTAATCCCTGTGAATAAAAAAGCAGGGATTTCAAAAGAAGAGATTTTAAAAGAATTCAACATTTTGGATTTGATTTGGAAGTGTTCTGTAATAGTGAAATATTGAATATTAATTATCACCAGATCAAATTATTTCAGTAGAATATATGACATTGCATATGCCAAATTATTACACTTGCCACATGAATAACAAATGTATGGCTTTTCTCCAGTGTGAGTTTGCACATGTTTTTAAACTTTCCAAATATTTCACAATTCATGACATATATGGCTTTTTTTTTTCAAAGTTTTTACAACTAAGAAACACTTTCCACATATTCTAAAATAATGTAGATTTCCATAAGTTTACTATCGAATATGTATTTTGAAATTACATGCTGCTGCAAATCTTTTTCCATATATGTTGCTATGAAATAGCTTCTCTCCTGTATGTCTATTTAATGATTTACAATAATGTGTTTTTGCTAATGCACGGGTTAGTTCATATACTTGCTCTGTTTAGTAGTGTCTGTTCTGAGGATAAATTTGTAATATATCGTAAAAATTCAATATTGTGAGTATCCCAAAATATGACTGAGTGTTCTAACGTTTAATAAATCACTGTAAATAAAATAGTATAAGATTAGGCATCTGGGATTCATTTTGACTTTTCTCTAGCATGAATTCTGGACATGTTCTTATAGTGCGCGTTTGTCCAACGGTCAAAGAGGCATCACACACGGTCAAGGCTCCTCTGATTAATTCTCATATTTCCAAAATCATCAAATCATTTACTGGATCACTGTGAATAGAAATAGCATACAATTTGGCATTTTGAATTCAATACAAGTATTTTGTTGTAGTCGATTTTTCTGAATTGCCTAAAACAAGACACAGAACGTATCTTAATTATCACTCTTCCTCATTATAAATATGGAGTCTCCGCTAATGAACATTATTCATCTCTTGAATCCAGCTTTTGTAAAAAATTCAATCTCAAAATGATAAATATATCTCACCATTCAATGGCCAAATAATTCAACTAGATGTTGTTAATTCAAAACTCTATTCCTATCGGTAGCTAAACGTTGATTTATCGGTGCATGGAACGATGGATGCTGTATACATACAGGAGTATCCAGAATTCACAGAGGCATCACACAACGTATCGTGATAGACTCTTGTGAAATTAGCTTTGCAACATCTGGTAACTTTAAACACAATAGGAGAGGATATACTGGCGACGAACCACACTTCTTTGAAAAAAAGTTTTGTAACTCTAAATACGAGAATTTACACTGGGTGTAAGTGTTACCTTCGCAAGAGATATGAAAATGATTATGTAGAATCGTGTTCTGAAACAGAAATTATATATGGATACATAGTATCCATGAAGAATATGGATCTACGTTTCTTCAGCGTTAACAAGTATATTCAACTTCATTTTATCTGCCAAACACTCCCCACATGTTTCACAAATATATAACTTTTTTCTGGTATGAGTTTCAATTGTGTTTGAATTGCATCAAACAGTTGCCACAAGATTAATTAATTTGTAGCAGCATATGCCAAGTCCAGACTGGTGATATATGCGTTACATCAACACGTCCCACAAAAGCATCGAAATCCTACTTTCAATCACCGAAAACTTTGTTTCGAATGACCGTATTGCCGGCGATCGACAAAAACAGATCAGTGTATGAAATGTAGCAAAATCAGAATTAAATTTCCTTTTCTTGGTTTTCTGAGCCAACAACTTTTTTTGCATATTTTCTATGTTTATCCATCCGTGGTTTTTGTCCCTCAACATGGACGCCTTCCTTAACTTCTCAACTTTTTGGGTTGGCAAGTACTTTGACTTCGATTACCACCAATAAAAAGTCTGACTCAAAAAGAACTTCAAAATCATACTCTTGAGTCTCGCCCTATTTCCGACTAGAAATACCAAGGGATGGCCAAAACCGAATGCATTATGAAATAATAAATGTATTCTGAAATGGGTCTGTTTCACAGGAGAAATTCATATAATTCGAATTTGGTTATGCAGCGTAACGGATATGAACATTGATTTAATAAGTATTCTCTATTTTATTCTGTTACTTTTTGTGCGTTAAAATAATGCATGCTGTAGAAGACATTTACAAGTGAAATATTCCAAATTCTTCCTAACATTTACTAAATCGAATACAACCAATCTCGATGTATGCGACCAACGACCATTCTATTCATTTTGGACATCCCTGAAAACCTAGCTCTAAAGTCAGTCTTCAACATCAAAAACACCCTTAAGCTCAGTAGCTCGGAAAATAATACTGCACTGTGATGCGAAGTGCGAAGTTTATTTGTCTCAGTGGGTTAAATGCATTGAGGTAGCACTGTTAGAAAAAAATTTAAATCTGATAAAATAATTGCATATTTAAACATATATATATAGTGCATAGGGGAATATACATACTGAAATTAAAATAAATTTGCTCAATAGTACGTAAAAGCAAAGCCTATCATTTTTTAAGTGAATTTGCTCAAGGAAAGTTATATACGTCAACTCCAATGGAGACTCATCTTAGAACAAAGTTACGGGCACTCACTAGTAAAAGATACTCATCTCTGAGCGAAGTTACTGGCACTCATTCAGAAGTAAAAAAGACTCATCTCTGAGCAAAGTTACGGGCACTCACTAGAGGTAATGAAAACTCATCTCTCAGCAAATGGGAGGCACTCACTCAGAAGTAAAAAATATTTAATAACACTTAGCATCCAGGTCAACGGTTTCTCCTGATCAAAGCCAGGGTCATTGAGAATCGTTTGACTTGATTTGAAAGACGTGTAACGAAGTTGACCGTGCTCGCTAAGACATGAATAATTGTTTTCAAGTTTAGTATAGTATAACTGTGAATGATACTTCATATTTGACCATGAAAATAGATGATTTTATTATTTCCATACAAGTATGCTTAAAGCAAGGTGCTGATAAAAGAGTTATGAACGACCTCTGTCACACAAAGAGCAATTTGTTAAACCAGGGGTTCTCAAAACTTTTGGCGTTATGGAGCCTGTGAAGAGGTTGATTATTATTTATATAGATTGGAAATTTGCCCCACAGATTTGAGCCTTGGCAAACGTATTAATAAGAGAGTATCGAAATGTGGCAACTAGGCAGTAACCAAAATAAGGCATTATCTATTATGTCACATCTGAGTTAACGCTACCTTGGTCAAAATTAGCCAATTAAGTATTAAGAGTCTTGTTCAAAACAAAAGTTGAGGACTCGGGTTTTAGTTGAGGGCTCAGGACCTTGCTTTGAGAAAACTTGCAACCATTCTATCAGAACGCTTTCTACTTTGGTTGTGTGATTCGGCTCTATTTCAAGCATATTTGTAACTTGCTTATTCTGATCATTGGTATCTTGAGTAATAAATAAACAGTAAGAATGAAAATATAAACTACAATCAATTAATAAAGTTATGTTGAAATACTTTCAATTATAGAAATACAGACTATAAAATCTCAGCATGAAAATTGGGAAGAGTTGAATGAACATGAATGGTTATAATGCTGGGCGTTAACAGTAGTTGTCCTTTGTAACTTCACATGAAAATAGGGTACTCCCGAAGTATGTGAACCAAGATGGCGGACACCGGAACGTAGTACGTGTCCTAGGTTAAGGTTAGGCCATAATTTTATTCCAATTTTCCTTATTTTAGTTCTATTACGAGTCCAGGGACTAGCCAAGTGACTCCCGTAGTATTTGTACTTGAAATATGGCCCAACCCTAACCTGATACACATACTACGTTCCGGTGTCGACCATCTTGGTTCACAGACTTTGGGAGTACCAAAAAAAGTCTATGAATAATTAAGTTACTTGAGATGGACCAATATAAAATGATATTCTAAGTAAGGGGTAGGAAATTACTTTTCTAAGTGGGCCTGTTACAGATAATACTTGGTTACTGGGCCGGAGGCTCAAGACTACGAATAAGAAACAGTCCATTCACAAATATATAGCATAACAGGCCGACTGAAACACTTTGGACAGCCATAACTGGCCCGTGGATCGCAGTTTGCCCACCCCTATTCTAAGTGATTCAGAAAAAATCAATGCCGGGGGTTTACTTAACAAAAACTAGCCCATGTATCACTTGTCGTAATTCCAGGAATGCAAGTTCAATTTGCCTCTAATTGTCTCATTAACAAAATGAAGGTTAATAAAAAAAACAATCTTTAATCAGTTTTACTTCCTAGTTCCTGGTAACCTTTGATCTTTGCTACTCGATGAAAGCATTTATATATATTGCCTAATTAAACAAATAAAATGAAAAATTAAATATCTATCAATTCAAATCTATTTTTACTTCCTTGTTCCTGATCACCTTTGACCTTTGCTACCTCAGCCATGAAATCATGCACTAACTGCCTTATCTCAGGATGCTCAGCAGTGTGGTGTTTCACTCCGTAATCCTTGTGCATTGGAATGAAACGAATGTGAGGAGATTTTGACATGGGGTCAGAGGTCTTCTTTTTGTACAGAGTCTCACCGAGATGAATGTCGATTCTGTAAGGAATGGAATACTTTGGTTTGAGAATTGGATTTTTCTATTTCAAAAGAAAGCAAATCCGAATCGATTAGGAAGCGAAGCTAATAGGGCCTACCAACTAAACTTTGCATTAATGTTGCATTAACACCATGCAAATATTGCTTTTACAGGGCGCTCCAGAATGTGTCAAAGGGCAACCAGTTTTCTTGTAATCAAAGACAGAGTCATTGGAAATCGTTTGACTTGATTTGAGAGACGTGTAACGAAGTTGACCATGCTGGCTAAGACATGAATAAGTGTGTCTTTGGGAAGCGCTCCAGAAGTATGTGTACCAAAATGGAGGTAACTAATTTTGTTTATCTACTTGACATCAAGTTGTGTAAAGGGACTGAAACCTATGGGCAGGGGATATATTTACTTGGCTGACACAAACAGTCCTCGAACACGTAATAGAACTAAAGTAAGAAAATCAGAATGAAATTATGCCCTAACCTGGTACACATACTACGGGAGTACCCTTTTACAAACCCTGGCTTGCTTTAAGCATGGAAAATTCTGATGAGGTATCAATAAAAAGCGAAGGATAGGATTTACATATTTATCCCGGGGGAAAGAAAAGCCGCTAGGACAGCTTGATCATATAGCGAATCGCGGCCTCTCGTCCGATTACCAGTCCTTGTCGGTTATGGGATTGTTTAGCCAGTTATTTGTTTTCCAATGCGTGGACTGACATTTTATTATACTTTTGGGGACAAGAAAATTGGGGCGACCGCTCCTCCCCCCTCCTTGGACTTGATGCACGGAGCTAATCGGTTAATTATTTTGTTTTAATCAATCTGACAATTAGGGCATTATAGCGCTTGTTATGCTGAGGAGTTGACAGAAAACTTATATTAAATACTGTACTGTAAGGCCGTACCGGTAAATATTGTAAATGTTAGATGATGAATTTACGAGACATAACTTGATGATAGAGGTTACATGAACCACCTTACGACAGTAAACAGTTCCGCAAGCCATATTCTCATAAATAACATGTTTTGAACCTCTTGAAGGGCGCCACGTAAGCATGTTAATTCGGTTAGAACGATACACCAACTGGCAAGCCATACCTTTCAATTATTTCTGGAGCCTTTATTGTCGGCAGATACTTCTCCGTCCTGAGCTCTACGTCATATTGTTTGATATTCTTGTGAACCTGAGACCTCATGAAGGGATAGAGCAGATAGAAATACTGGAAGAGAGATGTAATAAATACAATTTTTAGATGTTATTCAATTCAAAAGTCTTGACGCACTACCACAATGGCATAGTACAGAGGTCCCCAAAGAGTGATCAGCAACTAGTTAATAAGTGTTCGCAAAAATTAACAGAATTCTGTTAACAAGGACCAAACTGGAAAGATTTCAGCCCTTCCAAAAGATAGTATATCCTTGCATATCGTTAGATACGAGTATCTGTTGCTACTGGTGCCTGGCCTTGCACGTGAAAAAAGCGTTAATAAGCATCATATAATACTATATCACATCATTGAAATGAACATACTCCCGTAGTATGTGTACCAAGATGGCGGACACCAGAACGTAGTATGTGTACCAGGTTAGGGTTAGTCCATAATTTTATTCCAATTTTCCTTATTTTAGTTCTATTACGAGTTCGGGGACTAGCCAAGTGACTTCGTACGGAGTACCGAAATGAAACAAAATATAAATTTCACCTTAGATAGTGGGAAGCAGTCTGCGGCATCGTATGTATTCGTGAACGGAGCTTCAAGTATCAGACAGTCAGGGAGTCGAGTGCCATCTTTCTGGTCGTACATGAGCGATAGCGCCCTCGTGCTGATGTAAGTGCCGAGTGAATGACCCCAAAGCACGATTGTCACATCTTCTTTCTGGAGCTGGGTGATTAAATACATTAAGTGTCAGAAATTTGACAATTACTGATTCGATTTTTATAACTTGGTAATCAGGGGAATTCCCTATTGACAGGCAACTGTGTTATGAATGTATAAGTTGACCCCCACACAATCAGGGTTATGCGCTTATAAAGCCGAAATTTAGTGTGATTAGAGTGAGGCGCATATAAGCCGACCCTTTAGTTTGGGAACTTTTTTTCTGAGTTTAAACTGTGCTTATATACAATTTATATATGGTATACCTCTGCTTTGCTGATATTAGCCATATGATTAATAAGCAGTCTTATTGGCTTTTCTCGCCCCTGAGACAAATATGATAAAACATTATCCAACCTGCTTGACCGTCCACTTATACACGCTAATTGCATCCTCTACGACTCTTGTTGGACTCGGCTGGCCGGTAGAGTCCGCAAACCCACTGTAGTCAAAAGCTATGATGTGGAATCCTTGGTGAAAATGGAAAAGATTTTATTTGTGTGAATGAGCAGATTGATACAACAAGAGAGCAACGCTCAAACGCTTTTCAGCTTTTATGACGACCAGAGTGAAGCAGTTTTTTACCTTTTTTATACGATGCCGTACCCTCAAAATACTTTCTTTCAGTCGCAAGAATTTTCACAGTCAGCCGTCACGCGTGGCGGATTAAAAACCATGTTCCCATAATTAAAAAGTAATACAGCGCAATTTTGGATGAAATATTAGATTTCATAAGATTCATAGAAAATGTAGGAATAAATAAAAGTAATAGCCTTCTGGCAAAAAAACCAATCTTTAACCACTGAAAATTTCAAAGCAACTGGTCCAGTATTCGAAGAAAAAAGCGATTTTTTAATGATAATGATGAGGAAAATCAACAACATAATATTGAAACGGTCGTTATGTCCACTGAAGTGTCCAATAACAATAAATAGTGAATGGGATGATCTAGGCCAGAGCTACTCAACTGGCGGACCGCGGTCCGAATCCGACCCTTTCGATAGATTCGGACCGCACCTAATTCTTTATTTTGGATCATTAGCCCCACTTTTGAAGTTTTCTTTTATAAAATGACTTTTATAGTTTTGAATATATATGAAAATACCTATAACATCATAATAAACAATCTTGATTTGCTAATAATCATTAGCCGGCCGAGGAAGTGCACGTTTAAGGATGCCGAAATACAATTTCTGTAAAGACCGGACCCAAATAATTTTGAAAAAATAGTTGAGTTGCCCTGGCCTAGGCCACGATTCGGCAACCTTTGGCATTAAAAGAGCCATATGGCATCGTCTACACCTGACATGGGCAAACTTCGCAAGCCGGATCTGGCCTGTTGGGTTATTCAATCTGGCCCGCCTGATGCTGCCACAACTGAAATAAAACCAAAGTTTGATGTTCTAGCGAAAAATAGCTCAAGGAATTTGTTGAGATTGGGATTAAATTTAGTTTGGGCTCGAGGCTTATTGTTTTTCACGTTTGTAACACTGTGAATATTGTTCATAAAATGTAACATTTACGTCACACTTACATGGCCCGTCAGTGTAGATGGGCAAAATTTGGGCCCCAGGTCCAAAAAACTTGCCCACCCCTGGTCTATACCAAACTCAAACCTACTCGAGCCGCAACATGTACTCTAATGCCAGATACTATTAGAACTATCGAAAAACCACTTATGATGTCATATTCTAGTTCTAACTAATTTACCAACGCCGTCTTACAATTAGTTAGGGTAGACCAGCGACCAGCAGCATACGACTCTTTGTTTTCGGAGCTCTGGCTTCCGTGAATCAAAGTGGCAACAGCCGTTTTTGTTAGAAGCAGTGGGGATTCAATGAAAGTCGGAGACATAAAGTCTATTACTACTCACTAATTACACATGACAACAGATATAAGTCGTGAGCGGTACAATAGGTCGCATCAAAGTGATTCAATTCTGTCTAAACAAACTTTTATTTTGTCGTAAACTGAATTATTGCATCATAAGTGGTTTTCCTGTAGTTTTAATAGCCACTGACATTAGAGTAGATGTTGCGGCTCCGAGTACATTTGAGTTTGACAAAAAGGATTCGACCATATTATTCATACCTGATTTCTGCAGGTCTGAATATAAATCTCTTCGATGCTTGAAACCACGATGAAACGAGTTGCCATGGCAATAAATGATGATTTTCTCAGCGTCTTGTAATGACCCTGATTTGACCTCTGGAGTATCGTACTGAGTGACTGGCGGAATATGCCAAACGCCTAAAATACTTCCACTCGAAGACTTCACATAGCAGTTCTTGCTCTCTTTAAGATTGTAGGCCTGAAGTAAAAGAAGAGAATTCAGAGTTAGGAATTGATCACTATAATAAGGATATCTGGTTGAAGCAAGGTTTAGTGCATTTACTCATAAGTGAAGGGACATATTACTGATCGAAGTTATTAAGGTCACTTACTCAGAAGTAAAAGAGACTAATATCTGAACAAAGTTACGGGCTCTCACTTAGAAGCAAAGGAGACTCATCTCTGAGCAATGTTACAGGCACTCATAAGTAAAAAAGACTCATCTCTGAGCAAAGTTACGGGTACTCACTCAGAAGCAAAGGAGACTCATCTCTGAGCAATGTTACAGGCACTCAGAAGTAAAAGAGACTCATCTCTGAGCAAAGTTACATGCACTCACTCAGAAGCAAAGGAGACTTATCTCTGAGCAATGTTACAGGCACTCATAAGTAAAAAAGACTCATCTCTGAGCATTGTTACAGGCACTCATAAGTGAAAGAGACTCATCTCTGAGCAAAGTTACGGGTACTCACTCAAAAGTAAAGGAGACGCTTCTCTGAGCAGAGTTACTCGCACACACCCAAATAAGGAGACTCATCTCTGAGCAAAGTTATGGGCACTCATTCAGAAGCACTCACTCATACAAACGTCTTGTAGAAAGTCTTACTTTGTCTGGTTTGTTCAGCTTCAGTAATCATACAGGTGGGCAGACTCTGTTGAGAAATAATCCTTCAAAGACGATTTTTGGATAAATCTTGAAAATCAGCGGAATTGTGACGTAAACCAAAAATCCATAGATTACAAAATAACATGAGGAACTGAATATTCCACTCATGCATTCGTAAAAAATTGTCGCCATTTTTAAATGAAGAGAGAATTCATTCGAAAGCACGTATGCCGGGGTCCAAGCAATATCCAAGGGAATGAAATATTGTAGAAAATTGGTTGATGCAAATCTTGGAGAAGTTCAAGTCAGCAAAAGAAACCCAATAAGAATTCCACGATACCAAAAGTTGTGTCTGCTATCAGCATCTGTGTGGTACGCTACCGCACTTGCTTTTAAATTGAGGCATTATTTCATAATAGAAGTCTATTTTAACCTGTTAACATTATCTGATGATTGAAATATGGAACCTAGTAGGACATAGTTCTCTTGATTTCAAAATGTCCCAAAATATAGTTCAATAAATCGAACACATTATTTGTCTCTGAAACACGACTATTATTTGGCAAACTGTGCGAGTTGAAACAATTCACACACAATCTGTTACGTACCAATAACTGCCTAACAATCATTATAGTCAAGACAACACATCGCCGGATGAGAACAGAACAGGCAAGTTTAAGTCACAATTTTGAGTTTTGAGCAAAACGCAAAAAAAACATTTTGAATTTTCTTTTTTTGAATATCTAGATATTTACACTTAGTAAAGACCTGATCTCTGGTTATGTGTGGATGAGAATATCTTTGTAATCAATATTTTTTTTATGTTTTTTTCCCCCCCAAAAAGGACTTTGGCCCATTCTGTTTCTAACTTCTAGAAAATATTAAGGACCCAAGTCAGTAAGTCCAGCTAAAATTTTTATTATTGATTGTAAATATTGGAAAAAGTGAAATGTTAAAAAATGTGACTTAGACCCCTTCTGTTCTCATCCGGCGACATATTTATCTCAATTGAAATCAACTTCGCTTTTGAGAAACGGTACCGGCTGACCGGTAGATATTGCAGATTAAAAATCTCAGAAAATCGGTCTCCGTTCCTAACCAGCGTAGTGCGAGAACACGCCCTCCGATGGACGTTTGTGTTAACTGCGAATTTGGGAGCGCTGTAATAATATTTAACCCTTTCCATGCGATTTTTATTTTTTATTAAATAATCGTATTTGCTACGCCGACTTTATGCATTTGTACCCCCACAACTAATCGATCGACTAACGAAAAAGTAATGATCCTCTGCTGCCCACTGACGGCTCGTTGGAAAGCTTATTTAAAGAGCTTGCAATTGGCGATTGAAAAATTTTTTTTTTTTTTGAAAGGGGTGGTCTGAGTCACAAACCGGATAGAAAAAAGGCATTTTTTTTCTTGGGTGTTGAAACTTCAAACCGTGATAAAAAATAGAAATATTCGCTAAATCCTTTACTGTTACCGCTTCTTGGTTGGCAAACAATAGCATAATATTGCTGTAGCAATTTCGTTATCTAACTCAAAATACTTTGGTAGATGGAAGGGATAATATGTCTTCTATTACCACCCAAAAAACACCGAAATTTGCATAAATTTCAAAACACTCCCTCGTTCCGCCGCAAATAAAATTCCCATGGTAAACGAAAGCGAGATTTACCGTCGCTTATGTTAATCTCGAAGAAGACTTCTTATCAATAAACTAAAACCCGGAAAAACTAGACCAACAGTTTGCGACCGATTGCTAAATAAAACAGTGGAGTACATCAACGTACCCGCCGCAAACTAGCGAGTTTTGTCGTGGGTACGTATACGTGCCCACCGCACGGAAAGGGTTAACAATTTTATTTACTCAGTATGGGATTCACATATTTATCCCAGGAGAGAAGCAAGCTGATAAGATGAATTAATAATATAGCGAACCACGGCCTCTCACGTTTATGCCGATGCTATATTACACGGGGAGGGCAGATACAACTGGGTGAAGCCACGGGCCGCACTAAGAAACTCTATCTACGAAAGGCTATGAATACGGAAAATCCAACTTACGAAAATTTTTCTCGTAAAAATATTGCGTCGGCCAACGTAAAATTTTCTACACACGGAAAGCCTAACTAAAAACCGAAAACTTAAAAAATGTGTGTAGTGATATTCGTTTATTTTAGAGTGATTTAATGCAGTGCTTGAAGAAGGGGTGACCAATTCAGAATATCGCGACCTTCGAATATCGTTCTTCGCAAATATACTAGCGCCGCCGTTAAAAACAATTTAAGTTTATTTCATTTTTTTTCGTCGTATTCGAAGGCAGCCGCGCCCATTGGCCAGTTTTTTCCCGCGGGTACATACGATGTCTTGCTATCGAAATTCAGTGAATAGACGATGATACAATAATAAATGTTTTCAAATATCATGTGTGTTTGCTCAATTTCGTACATTACGTTCTGCCGCCTGCTCTCACTTCCTCCGACCGCCGTCCTCCCACTCTCCGCAGTCTTCGTCTAGTCCAGGGGTTCCCAAACCGCGGCCCGCGGGCCAACTCCGGCCCGCGTAACGATTTAAAATGGCCCGCCGAGCTTGAGTGAAACAATGAAATAGATTTTGTTTCTACCTTTTTACAATCTAGAAACCGCCAATTGTTATGTCATTATCACAGTTTAATAAGCTCGTGTTCATGGTAACAATTCGATTATGCCGGTATCTCAATTATACGTACCGTATTAGGATTACATAGGGCAGTAATTTAGGTATCAGCCGTTTAAGAAAGGTTAGAGATGTCAAATAATATACAAGACTCTGAAAACAGATGTTACTCCGATAAATGGCATCGTTCGTATTTCTGTATTGAAAAGAATCACACTTCAGCGATTTGTCCACTTTGCCGACGAACTATTCAAGTTATAAAACAATACGACATAAAGCGCCATTATGAATCAAACAAACATGTTTAAAAAAATGTCAAATGTGAATCCACAGAACCCCAGCTAAACCGTTGCACACTTTCGGGCACTACACTCTTCCGGCCCGCGAACACCCTTTCGATTCTAATTTTGGCCCGCGGCCAAAAAAGTTTGTGAACCCCTGGTCTAGTCCATGGATGGGCAACCCCTGGCACGCGTGCCAATCTTGGCACGCAAGCCCATTTATTCGGCACGCGAGCGAGGCCTTGGAAACGAGATCATTTTCCTTCAGATAAAAAGTTTCAAGACTCTGAGTTATCTGATGAAACTCGGTGTTCGTTTATTTATTATGGTTTGTTAACAATTCGTTAAATAAACTCATTTTGTCTTCTCATGACGTAGGCCCATGTCTACAAAGAAATATATTATAACAGAACAAATGTCAGCTTTGGAGAAGAGCGCTGCATTGATTTTGCTACATTCTTACATAATATAGTTCGTCTGTGCCACCGTTTATCTTCATTTCTGCTTAATTTATGGAGTTGTAAAGCTCATGTTGACTAGATTTACCTGCCAACTTACTGTTATAAATTGATTTCGAAAGAAATATAACGATTAGGGAAGGGAATACGAGAGAGAAGTGCAAAAAACGAACTATTGCGTGATGCCATTCCTGAAAATTTTTGATGTCTCAAAAACTTTGCAACTGCGTTACTCTCCATGTTTTCATCTACATATGCCTGTGAATCTTGGTTCTTAGTTATGAACTTTATTGAGTCTCGTAATAGGAGTAGCCTGAAAGATGAAACCAGCAGTAGATCGTGTATTTCTCTGGAAGTTATAAAGTATAAACCCAATGCAAATTCTCGATCAGCGGTAATGTCGCAGCAGAAGTCTCACTGATATAGAATAAGAAAAGTAATCAAATCCATTTGTTGAAATGATATTCTCCCGATTATTGAATCTGTCTGTACATGTTTAAAATGTTTATTATTGCGATTAAGCCGATTTTGAGCCGAAAAAGATTGCTCACCCTAGTCTATAGGTAAATAAACATATATATATATATCGTAGTTTTTATTCGTTATTTCTCTGTTCTTCCTTCTTTCCACGTGTACATTTCTAGTTAGCATGAAGTAATCAATTCTAACATGTATTTGTTACGAGTTTTAACCGTTATTATAATTTAAACAAATATAATGTCCCAGTTGTTTTTTCGGGGCTTAGAACGAAATAGGTTATTGACAGGCAGTGTGCGCCCCTACTTATGTATAGAATTTTGTACCGACGGAGGTACTTCCGGGACGAATTAATTTCGTAGGTAAAGTTTTTACTGAAGTTGCAAGCACAAAAAATTGGTGTTTTTTTTGTTATTGATCTTACAGCACTGTTAGGGGCCCTTGCAGAAATGGCGAGTTAAAACTTATAAATTGAAAACTGCTTTTCAAATTTATTTTCACACCGACTAAACGATTCGAATGAGAAACACGTTTCTATAACGTGTCTTTTTCAACAGGATTTTGCTAGCTAGTTTTGCTAATATGACAGTGGCACGCAGGCGCTACTATAGGCTTTGCGACGCAATGAGATTGGAATTGCTCTCACACACCAGATTAACAAAACTAAAAACTCGTTTCGCGGGCACATCATTCAAAATTGGCACTTCTCCGCGGGACGCACAATTTTTATTTGCGGGCCGCAGTTTGCACACCCCTGCTATATCTGATTGATTTCTTATATAGTATATAATACAGTACGGGCCAGGAGCCTCGGTGACCTAACCGGTCTTGCATACTGACCCTCAAAATAATGATCAACCAATTATTGTTAAATTAAATTATATTTTCTGTTGCTCCAAATGTATCAGTAATATTAAATATAACTCTCTCTCTCGTCCGGTTATCATTCCATTTACCAGTCCATGTTAGACATAGTTAGCCAGTTATTTGTTTTCCGATGCATGGACTTGATGGCGGAAGAAGCCGTAACAGACCAGCGGGTACCTGAACCACCCCACGATGGCAAAGAGTTCAGCATAGGGTGGTTCACGTAACCGATGGTCGTTTGAAACAGTGGTCGGCAACCACCGGGCCGCGGCCCATCGCCGGTCCGCAGAGAGGTGACACAAAAACGGACAAGGCCATAATAAAACCTCTACAATCTAACCACAAACCCTACAACTAAAAACAGCACCCAACAGCAAACCAGACAAACACAACGCACTTGAGCAGCATGTCTGACTTCACAATGTCAGTATGACCATGTCAGTATGTCGCAATAATGCTGGGTCAGTTGTTTCCACTGCGCCCGTATAACAGTGTCTTTCATCAGTCCGTATAAGATATCTCCAACAACATAATTATTGCTAATAACGTGACTACTCCACTACTAGCTCGTAGTTAACCGGTCATGCCAAGTCAGTGCTAATTCTATACTTCAGAATCCGGATAATTATACACATATAGCACATCGGGTAAAAAAATTTGTTATGGCAAAACAACATCAATCAATACCCAGACCAGATCAGAAGGCATTGATACCTTCCCCGAAATATTATTAATGGAGGCCTGGAACAGTTAATCGCCAGCCAAACACGTTACGTGTTTCAATTTCGGCCATATCTCCAATATGGGAACAGGTAAGCCAACAAATGCAGATATCGCACTAAATAGCATCACCGTCGTATTTAGTATATTGTCAACCTAAATTTCCTAATGCGTATAATTTATTGCATAGGCTTAGTCCGTTTGTGTGAAGGTGGTCCACCAAAATTTTGGTCAGGCTTTACCGGTG